TTTTGCTTGAATATATGTCTATAACATATATGTGCTTGTTGTCTGTTGAGATCAGAAGACGGACTGGAGTTACAGACAGTTGTGAGTTGCCATGTGAGTGCTTGGAATCAAACCTCAGTCCTCTGGAAGAGCAGCTGGTCCTCTTAACTGTAGAGCCATCTCTCCAGCCACAAGGAGGAAGAAATATTGGAGTAAAGTCTTGCTGAGTAGGCAGAGGCTTCTGTAAGTAGAAGAAGCTGGCACATTAAAGAGCACCAGAGCCCAGCACTGTGGACAAATAATGTGAAACCAGTAATTCCCTTAACCACCTATACTCATTCTGATCCTTTAAGTCTTTTCTGTCATTAAGAAAAGTGACAGGGCTGGAGAGATGGCACAGTGGTTAAAAGCATTGAATGTTCTTCCAGAGGACTCAGGTTCAATACCCAGGACTTACATGGAAGCCCACAACCATCTGTAATTCCAGTTGCAGAGAGATCTGATGCCTCCCGAGGGTACCATGCTTGCATATACTGCACAGACATGTAGAAAAACACCCACCCATATAAACTGAAAAGAAAAATAGTGATGGTCGGTGGGTGCTTGAGTCATAAAGACGCTTGCTTTGTGTGAAGTCTGAGCAGCAAATTTGAGCTCCAGAGTCCAGAGAGACTTTACAGTTAATTCACAGATAATTAAAAGGTTAGGATGTGACAAATGTTGAAGAATCTGGTTACACTACACCAACAGTTCTCCTGCTATGGACTTGTGGTGGGACATTGCAGCACACGGATAGAAGAAAGAACACATCCTCAAACAAGCAATCTCTGTGAGGATGTGTACCATGAGTCTGGGGTAAATGTGAATGAAGTTGGATGCAGGCATAGGCATCAAAATTATAAAGAAATGCAGACAGTGACTTCTACTGTGACATAGAACTGTACCTAGTCCCTGCTGGTCACCTGGAGCAAGACTTTTTTTTCTTTAAACGTATTTTGTTTTGTTGTACGTGGGTGTTTGCTTGTCTGTCTGTGAATCACATGTGTGCCTGCTGCCTGCTGGGGCCAGAAGGGGGTGTTAGAGCCCTGGGAAGAACAACCAGTGCTCTTAGTCACTGAACCAGCTCTTCAGCCCAGGGTACACTCCTTTTTACTTTTGGGGGGAGATGAGACAGGGTTTCTCTGTGTAGCAGCCCTGGCAGTCCTGGAACTCACTCTGTACACCAGGCTGGCCTTGAACTCACAGAGATCTGCCTGAACTCTGCCTCTGGAATGCTGAGATTAAAGGTTTGTATTACCACTGCCTGGTCTCCCTTTTAGTTTTAAATTTTAATTATTTTGAAGCAGAGTTTCAACCCTGTAGTCCAGGCTGACCAAGACCTCATAGTCACTGTGCCTGGGCCTCCCCAGGGCTGGGGTTACAAGCATGTACAAGCATGTACCTGGAATTTTTAAGTTATTTACATTCTAAGGAGCATACAAGTATTTGTTAATCATCACTACTTATATAAAAAAGTGGAGATATATATATATATATATATATGTATATATATATATATATATATATACACATATATATTGTTGACTAACATTCTGATACCACGAGCAATTTTTCTGGCTGCTTCTTTAGCCCAAATACTACAAAGACTGAACAAACAATGAAGCAGGATGGCATGCAGGCTGATAACTTATATTATTACATTTTATAAGCTCATTTATGTCAGCAGGTGCTAACCTGCCAACATCTCTAACCAGGTGGCTCCCAAGTGTACAAGCCACCTTAGCTGTCCTAGGGATCATAGCCTGCCAATGTAGGAAGTCTAGGTTTCTGTTTCACTAGAGGAACCTTGCATTTCAGTTTTGCATAGCTTATTAAACAAACCAGACTTGGGCTGGAGTGATGGCTCAGTGGTTAAGAGCACCGGCTGCTTTTCCAGATTCAATTCCCAGCATCCACATGGCAGCTCACAACTGTCTGTAACTCCAGTTCCAGGGGATCTAGTACCCTTACACAAACACACATGCAGGCAAAACACCAGTGCACATACAAATAAGTAAGTCTTAAAAAAGTCAGACTTGTCTGGTTTCCCAGGTTGTGGGGGTTAGAGGGACTGTAGTGATGGCTCAGTAAATGAAGGTGCTTGCCACCTGGTACCCCGAGCGTGGCCTCTGGATCCCACATGTTGAAAAGAAAGAACGGAGTCTAAGTCTGGTTTCTCACCTCTACACTCATGACTCCAAATGTAAACAATACATGTTTTTTTAATTATGTTATGTGTGGGGGTGTTTCGTCTGCATATGTATCTGTACACCTCACGGACGCCTGGTACTCAAGGAGATTAGAAGTGAATTTTGGATCCTCTAAGACTGGAGTTGTGAGCTGCCACGTGGAATCTAGATCCTCTAGAAGAGCCTTTAGTTAACCACTGAGCCATCTCTCTAGCCCCAGTAAATACTGTCTATACAGGGTGAATGGAAAAGAGAGATGTCTGGCGTTCTGCTCGGCTCTCTGCATTATATCACAGGCATTTCTTGACCCTGTACACTTAGTTGCATATACATATAACACAGAGATACATATAAATTATCATTACTTTCAAAACAACATATCTATAGGCTTAGATTTAAAAAAAAACCTACTTCAATAAGGATTCTCAAATGCCTCGACCCCTCTTCTAGCACACTGTCCAGAGGTCGGGGAGAAAAGATGGTGACTAGGACAAGGGGAGTGGACCTGTTTAGAAGTAGTTCTTTGGAGCAATGCCAATTTTCGTTGTCAGGATACCAGCAGTCCAGTTCAGTAGTGTCAGGATACCAAACATGATGCAGCAGGAACTGCCAGGCCTCCACAGACTCGGCATGAGTCAGCAGGAACGACCAGGATCAGCCAGGATGCCTGGAGAAGTTTTCTGCCATGCTTCTCTCAACAAAGTGAAGATCAGCGAAGACTCAAGACCAATGAAGTTAATGCACACCTAGCTATGCAAGCACCAGCCTCTGTCCGTGGAGTCCTATTTATACTCTCTCCAAAATCACATGTCCTCTCAGGTGTCTCACCTCAACAAAACAACACCTGAGTCTGCATCACATGACATAACTTCCCTTTCACATATCAAACCTGCTTTTTCATTAGAATGTAATTATTTTTCACACAAGATCCAGATTATATACGTGATGTACACGTACACCATCTTATCCCTGGGGTCCACATGACAGAAGCAGAGAACTTACTCTGGAAAGTTGTCCTCTGACCTCCACACCTGAGCTATGAACTGAACAAGTGTGAGCTAACAAACTTTCAATAATAAACAAAACATAAAAGAATCTAAAAGTACAATTATCAAGCCCATGTTTGGGAGGAGAAGGGCACAAATTCAGTCTCTCTACACAAAACAACTACAGTTTAAGGGTACGTCCCTCTGCTTTCCGCCAGCATCCAGTGGGCCTCTTGTGACTCCACTGTTCATGTCCTGGAAACATGGCTTCCCACTGTAGTCTGTTGCCCAGGTCATACCTCTTACATCTGTGGCAACACCTCTTCCCTTTGATCCGCTGTCTTCAGGTTCACTGGCAGGCAAGGATTTTCTTTTCTGCATTGTTTTATTGTTTCTTGAAAATTAAAGAAAGCTTCAATTAACTCTGGACAATTTGAAATTCCTTAAATGTCTCAAGTATTGTCACAGTCTATGAATGAACCCCCCCAAGGTAAGGTGGGCATGCCACCATTTTGTTCACTAGCTATTGGTCCAGTACTTTTTCTACAATTTCCTTAGGGTCTGTCTGCCTTTCCAACTTTTTAACTTTTTCCATTGTGTTTCTTTCCCATTTTTGCAGTGTCTTACTGGAGGCCATTTTTAAAATCGTAGGTCTGAAGAGCGCCTCAGGGTCCACTGGTCTGTATACCTCCAGCTAGAGTCACATTCCAGTAAATTTATTTCCACTGGGAGCAGTTCTTGTACAGTTGTGGAATTTATACATTTTAGTGACTATAGCAGCTTCTATCCTGAGAAGTCTTACTTTCTGTCAGGTTCAAGTGATCATATCTAAATCTTATCATGTGATGTTTTATCAGGAACAATCAGAAGAACTGGATAAAAAGTAGGCAAAGTGCCCACCAGTCACCCCTAGAGTCCTGTCGCCTGTGCCTTTGGTATGATCAGATGAACTCACAATGCTTTGGGAGGTCACAGCATTGCTTCAGCAGTTTGAATGTTGTAACTTATAGAAGAACACATCGAAATGCAATAGAGCCAATAAATACCATAGCCCTTTCAGATTGTTTTGCGGATAAGGAGACCGCTGACTGGCATGAGCACAGAGCAGCCTGGTCCTTTCCCACATCCCACTGACCTACCTATTTTACTTGCTAAATACATCTAAGAAACACTTCCCAGATGGCTGTTTCAGTTTTTGCTAGAAGGTGAAAAACGGTGAAAAGAATTAATAAACCCTTCTTGTATCCACAATCCCGGGCGCTTGCAAGCACAGTCTTTGGCGGCCTCTAGGGAAGCACTGCATGAATAAAGTATTTCTTTAGTAACCCCTCGCCCGGCTCTGCTTAGGAACTTGCGTGGACAGCTCACTAGCTCGCGGCCCACGGGCCTCAGAAAAGGGACAACCGGCTCTAGTGTGAGCCCTGGACGGAGTCTTGGTCCTTTGTAGGAAGCCCAGGCCTGAAGCCCCCGCTGGGCGGCAGGAGCCAGCGACAGGGACAAGGCGGCGCAGGGGGCACAAAGAGGAGGACTGAGCCACGGAGGGGCCTTAGGGCCGGGGCGGGGCGAAGTCGGGGAGGAGCCTAGCAGAAGACAGCACCAGGAGGTGCGGCATAGGGCGGGGCCTTAGGACCGAGAGGCGGGGCGAAGTCGGGGGTGGGGAGAAGCCTGCAGAGGGCGGCGCCCGGAGGTGTGGCATATTGGGGGCGTAACAGGGTCCGGGGCAGAGTCTCAGCTGGGCGGAGCGGGCTGCCGGGAGCCGGCAGAGGGGGCGGGGCAGGCTGCGGCCAGGGCGGCCCCGGGCGGGGACTTCTGGCACTTTCTGGGAGCTGCGGGCGTGCGGCTCACAGACCTTCTGGCCGGAAACCCGCGCGCTCCTGCTACCAGGGCCCTCGTCGTCAGCGCCGCCATGGCCAAGTGGGGCCAGGGTGACCCGCGCTGGATCGTGGAGGAGAGGGAGGACGGGACCAACGTGAACAACTGGCACTGGTGCGGTAGGCCCCGGGCGCGAGCGGGCGGGCGGGCGGGCTCCTGGGAGGGCCGCGCGGCGCCGCAGCACGGCTGCCCGTGGCGGGAGACGGTTCCTAACTGCCCTGGTCCTCCGGCTTCAGGAAAGTTAGCCCGAGCCCCGCGAGGGACTTCTGCCTCACCCCGCCGACAGCTGTGCCTCGGTCGCCCCTCACCCGGCCCTCCAGGGCCTTGAGCTGCGTAGTGCGCGTGCGTGTGCCGACGGCGCTGTGTCCGTGTGCAGTAGGAAGGGCAGGGACTTGGATCTCACTTTCTTCGCTTTGTCTCAGTTTGCACTAGTTATCTGCCCCCTTTGTGTCTCAGGAATACCGGGAGATGTCTGCCTTTCTGGCGGGCGTTGGGGAAAGCTGAGTTCCCAGAGCAGAGCTCAGTCCGCACCTTAAGATGACTTGGCTGTCCTGAACGAATGATCTCCTGTTGTAGGCTGGATTCCGTGGCTAGGACACCGACTTCTCAAGCCGCTCTTTGTCTCCTTAGATGAGAACATTAGAGAGTGCATAAGATAAATCAAATATGGAAATGCCCGATAACTGATATTGTGGTTAAGGTTATTTAAATGACTACCATTACAGATGACCTCTGCTTAGCCCATCCATTTCCTATGGGGGAGATTGCTGGACCCTTCTCCCCGGGGCCATTGTTTTTAAGATTACCCATTATTATATGGTGAATAATAGTATCTTAAGAAACTGAGCAACAGGCTTAGAAGATACCTAGTAGAAACCTTGTCAGAGAAGCACATTTGCGAGTTGGAGGCTGCTTGAGTACCAGGGCTCACCTGGTCTGGGTTTGGATAGCAACCTGGCTGGGCAGATGGAGACCAGCAGAGCCATTCACGTGTGTCTTTCTGTTCTCGGCAGGACTGAGCGGGATGCCACCGTTTGGTCCAAGGGGAAGCTCCGAGAGCTCCTGGTTGGCATTGCTATGGAAAATGAGGCTGGCCGATGTGTGATCAGTGAGTTGAAGCAGGTGGAAGGTGAGGCTTCTTGTAACAGCCGCAAAGGGAAGCTTATTTTCTTCTATGAATGGAACATCAAGCTGGCCTGGAAAGGTAATGGGGGTCCTGGCAAGAGGCAGGTCGGGGACATCCTGTGGACAGTCTTTCTTTCCATTTAGCAGTAGCAGCCGCTGATGCTCGGATGTGTTGGTGTTGCCAGGTTCTGACAGCTGCACCTCTCCCTGCTACTCTAGATGCTTGAGGAATCCTCTCTCAGCTGAACCCTTTTTACCAGCATCTGTGACTAGGGCCTCATGGAGCTGCTGCCTGGAGCACCCTTCCTCCAAAGATGCCTGCTTCCATCAAAAATGTTTAATTTCAAATGTTTATGTGTGTGTACACATACTTGGGTGCCATAGCATGTGAAGGCGAAGAACTTGGAGGAGTCAGTTCTGTGTGGGCTCCACGGATTTAACTGAAGTTAGCAGGGATGGTTGGTAGAAAGTGCTTTTACACCTTGCTAGCTCACCCTTGTTGTCTTTAATAATTATATGTATGTGTGTGGGTATGTGTGCCATGGTGGGTATGTGAGGTCCAAGGATACAAGAATTGAATTCAAGTCACTAGGCTCCAGCAGTAAGCTCCTTATCCATTGAGCCATCTTGCCAGCCCTCCCTTGGGGACTTTTTCCTAAGTTTAGGTTCTGTGGACAATCCATAGAGATAGAACCCTGTCATGTGTAAAACTCCCCGACCGCTTTCATTCCATCCTTTCATCCCACATTGTACCATGGTTTAGGATTTTATGCCTTTTTACGTGCACCGTGTGGACAGATCACATTTTGTTGTCTTCCTGTTTACCCGTTGACAGACATTTTTGTTTGTAGTTTTCTTGTCTTTACCAAGTTCTCCTGTGGTACTTGGCTTTTGGCCCAATACTTGTTGACATGACCAAGGATCAGACACATGGAAAGGGAGAGAACAAGGAGAGATCTGGGCTTGGAAGACCGTATTGTGTTAAGAACTCAGGTCTCTGCCTCACGTTGGCTGCTTTCTGTGTAGTTTATTAAGAAGCTCACTATGCTGGCCTCGGCCTCTGAGTCAGGGAGGTGTTCAAACATCAAAGCAGTCCCACAAAATTCCCTGTAAGTTAAGGCTAGCCTGGGACACAATGAAAATATCCCACTTCACAAAAAAGCCAAGCACTTGGAGTGTAGCTCAGCATCTGAAAGCTTGCCTAGTGTGCAGAGGGTTCTAGGTTAGATCAGTGGACATGCACCTAAGCAGCCTCACCCCTCCCCTGTGAACAGACCCCTCCACTTTCTCTGTGGTTGCTGCTGGCTAGATTGTAACAGGACTCTGGATAACTTTGTGGCTTGCATCTCTTCCTTTTACCTATACAACCACTTTTTTGCATGACAAGAAGCATGCCCTTCTGAAAAATAGATCCTCAGACCTAGAAGGGGGACAACCATCTGTTGCTGCAATGGAAACAGTCTTTGAGGCAGCATTAAGCATCTGGAAGGTCCCTCTGAAGTACCTATCATGGAGCTGAGTCTGCCAAGTGGTATTCCTGTTGCCTACCTGTGGATGAGACCTTGAAACCCATCATCCCCAGGCAGTTCCTTAGGGTATGGGGTTGGGGTGGGGGGTGAAGAGACCAAAGTGGGCATAAAGCCATGGAGCCTGTGGCTGCTACAGACAAAGGCAAGAAGCAAAGGCAAGTAGGCAAGACACTGTCCTGATGACCCCGTCAGCTTACTTCATTCCTTGACATCTCAAGTTGTAGAAGTGGATGGGGATCCAGAGCTGACTTAAGCACATCTGTCTTCTACAACCATTCCCTTCAGAGAATCTAGCCAGAGTAGCGCTTCTGGGCTCTCTATCCAAGCTATTGGAGGGCTCCTTTAATATTAGGTTTTGCCAGTGTTTGTTTGCTAACACTATTTGAAGAGGATTACCAGAGTATGTGCTCTGAGCTGCTCTACACTCTTCTGCAGTCGGGTCCATGCCTTAGGACTTTGTGCTCTCAGTGGATGATAAGTGTAGTTTGTTGTGCTTTGAGAAATAACAGGTATTCCAGACCCTGGAAGGTAGGGATTCTGGATTAAGTTATGTTTACCCATCAACAAAAAGAACAAAAATTCCAGGTATTTGAAGTTGTTCATGTATGGTTTGGCCCTCAGAAAAAAAATCAGTCATTCCCAATGCCCCTGCAGCATAAACTCAACTCATGAGGGGCTAGAGGTCAGACTGTGGGTGGTGAAACCCTTTCTCAGCTTGTTTTGTGGCCATGAGATAAATGCCTTTAGATCATTCCAGAGTATCTCAGTGTGGATGTTTCTGAATATTGTTCCAGTTGCATGGCCCTACCTGTGTCCCCAGCACTCATTTACTCAAAACTATTTTAAATACTTCCCCCAGCCCCAGATGAGTATACCGAAAGAGTGATAGGTATGTTGTATATCCTGTCTTGGTTTGTCTCTGATGTGGTCACAACCCTGTAAGGGGAGTGGGGCCACATATGGGCTATTCATTCAGGCAGAGGTCTTTTGCATAAACCAGTTATTAATTGTATTCATTTTGCTTATTTTAGGTACAGTTAAAGAATCTGGTGCAAAACACAAGGGATTGATTGAAATACCCAGCCTTTCTGAAGAAAATGAAGTCCATGACACCGAGGTATCTGCTGGTGCTCTCGCCTGTTCTCTGGTTAAGCTTCAGCTATAGGTGTTGGTCATTTGCAAACTGCTCATTAGACTATTTGGTTCTCCTGTGGTAGTTGTGAATTGTGGGGGCTGTCTGCCACTGTTGTGGGTGTATGAGGGGTGGAGCAGAGGTGTGAGGGAAAGGAGGAAGTCCTAGGAAGCTTCAGACTTCCAGGACCAAGTATGGAACCTGGGCAGGGGACTGACAGCAGTCAGCCTAGCTCTCTCATCTGTGCAGTCAATCCTTCAGCAATGCTTTCAGGTTAAACATGACCAGGCGTGTGCTGGGAAGCGCCTGGGCCATGTGCATGGCTTACTGAATGTGACTGTTTCCCCTTAATGGGGACAGTTCTCAGCCTTTAACTATACTTCTTGGATTCATCTCATTGCTTCTTTTTTAATGAGCCTGTTGCTTTTGACTGGTGGCTTTCCTAGTTCACCTAAGAGGAGCCTGTGTGTTCCTGTGCCTGCCTTGCCTCTTCCCATTGCCTCTGGGGTTCAGGACAATTGTACAGCATCGATAATTTCCAAATCTAGACACTCTGGCAAAAAAGTCTTAACATAGAGCAAGCAACGTTTCTCAGGTCTTGCCTTTACTGAAAGTCACTGAGGCCATGTCTCAGACACACATACCTTCAGACTTAGTTTGCTGTACTCTGGTGCTGCAGGGCCCTACAGAGCTCATCATGCTACAGTGCAGCTTTCTGGTGGCATATAAAACTGATCTAAAGTATGTATGCTACAGTAGAATCTAGCAGAGCAGATGCCAGACTTAGGTGCAGCCCAGCCCAGAATTACTGGGACCTGTAATAGTTTTGGGACTAGCACCTTTTCAGAATAGCAGACCACTTGATACGTCCCTGTCTCTTCCTTTCTGTTGCTCTCATCCATCTCTCCTCTTCTTATCTAGCTTAAGTCCAGGTTAGATGGAAACTTCTTGGTTAGTGGCTTCAGGTTTGTAGACCAGCATTATTCAGTAGAAATGCCACATAGTGTGATTTAAATTTGTCTAGTATCCACAATGAAAATCAGATAAAATAATTTAAAAAATTAATCCAGGGGAGAGTAAATTTAGCATGCAATTAACAAATTGTTGATGAGGAACTTGACTTGACTTTTTTTGGTATTAAATCTTTGGAGTGTTGTGTGTATGTGTTTACAGCATAGCTCAGATCATGTACCTCCATAAATGCTTAGACACAGGTGGATACTGGCTGCCATACCAGACTTTCTCTAGATAAAGCCACAAGCAATGTAACTCCTGTACTTACATACACAACTTCAAAGGTAAATGAAATGGTTCATCTTATAGTCCGTCCATTTACAACATGGCTTCCAGCACTGGTCTCAAAACTTTTTAGATCCTTTGCAACTGTGAAGAGGCCTATGTCTCTGTACCACTCTCTCCCTCTGCCAACCACAGTACTGTTATCAGAAGTTTTAAGAATACATTTGACCAGTTTTTTCTTAGGTTTTTATTTTTCTGATTTGTAGGTGAACGTGAGTAAAAAGAAAGGAGATGGGGAAATACTGAAGGATCTTATGAGAACAACAGGCACCGCCAAGGTCAGGGAGGCCCTTGGAGAGTACCTGAAGGCACTCAAGACGGGTAAAAAAAGGCATCCCTTGTGAACCATAGGGTCCCTTACTATCTACCCAAGGTTATGCTCTACACAAGGGCTGGATTCCCAAGTCAGGCTCCTGAAACATCTTTAACTGCAGAATAAGTTGTAGTCTGGGTGTTAACAGCTAGTTGTGGGTAACACAATAATAATTGATTACATGGACCAGTTTGCTAATTGTCAGTAGTTTCCTGAGCTGGGCATGATGGCACATTTATAGTCCCAGCATTGGGAAGATGAAGTAGGAAGACTGTTGCTAGACTGGGTTACATAGTAATAAGATCTTGTTCAAAACAACAAAAGAACCCCATACACCCCAACCCTTGGAATGGAATAGTTTTTTGTGTAATTACTTGTTTAATGTCTGTCTTCCCTGCTAGACTATATGCTCCATGAGGGCATGGAAGGTGTCTGTCTTGTTCACTGCTGTATCTCCAGCATCTAGCACAATGCCTGACACATAGTAGGTGCTTAATAAATCTTTGCCGAGTGAATGAATGTATGGATGGAAGGTATGATAACACCCAGAGGATCCCTATACCGTATGGAAGTGATCATGAAAAGCTATTGTCATTGTCCTAAATTAGAGGTGACAGCTGGGCAGAGTGGCCAACAGGGCTTTTTCTGCAACTCATCCTTAAAGCTTGCTCAGTTGAGTGTCCAGGTACTGGTATACACAGGCTTGGGACCACCATCACTCTTTCTGTGAAGACTGAGTGAGAGTAAGCTTTGTGAGAGGGATGCAGAGTTCTGGCAGGAGGTAAGAACCATAAGCAATCAATAGTTAATCACGTACAACCTAGCTATTTAGAAAAGAACTTATGGACAATTTGCATTTTAGAGAACTGTGGTGTCAGGCAAGGCATCAGAACAAGGAATAAAAGGCCTTTGTTAATAAGTATCAGCAATATATGTAAAAACAGTTATTTTCAAGGCCTCAAAATGTTTGTATAAATGTCAGTTTAGATAAAAGGAAGTATGTTAATAAAATTTTTCTATTTCATTACAGAATTTACAACAGGAATGATTTTACCAACAAAAGCTGTAACAACCCAGGAACTGACTCTCCAGAGGAAACTGACCGAAAACACATTGCAGGTATGAGCCTGTGTGGCTGCCCTGAGGGAGGAGTCTCCCTACAGCCTTTTGATGAACTTGGGTTGTAGATGAGGAAAGGATGTTGATCTACACATTTCCTCTTAAGATGTTGTCTTTTTGTAGAAATAACAAAATGCATCTTTTTGGGGTTTTGTGCTGAGTATGCAGGCTGGTACATGCAGGGCACGATCCCTGTCACCTCAAGCCTATGGTTCCAGTTCTTGACGGATGAGAGCACTAACTGGGTCTTCTAGAAATGCCAGCATTTCATCAAAACTGTTAAGTCATTGGTTAAAAGAGTTGTAGCCTTTTAGATTCATGGTGATCCTCCTGCTTCAGACAGCTGATTGCTGGCACAGTGAAACCATCATAACCAGCAAAAGCTGGTGACTTTGAAGGTCATATTGTGATGACAGAAAAGAATGTTCTGCCTTGACATTGGCATTAAGAGAGTGTGTTTATCTTTTTGGAGTTGGGGAATGGGAATATATGCATGCAGTTATCACCCTTTAGTCTTTCTTAGGTTTAGTAATCCTTCATTCAGTGGTCATGTTCTGGGTCCCTATGAACAGGTCAGAGGTATTTAGCTATAGCCTAGGAATACAATAGAGGTAGAGTTCATAGGAACAAGTGTTGGTGGAGCAGAGGCCTTTCATGCTGTTCTCATTGTCTTTGGGTCTGCTCACCATCTTGAATGTCTTTCTAATCTGAGGTGCAGGCTTCTCCAGTGGCACTGGGTGTGAGGATTCCCACAGTAGCTTTACACTTGACAGAGCTATTTGACACGACAGTAGAAAAGCTGTACAGTATCTTCACTGTAAAAGAAGTAAGTAACACCTTAAACTACTCAACCCAACATGGTTTGAAGATACATCACAAAGAACGAGGCCATTTTTGATGGAAGCAGGGATACTGGTGATGAAAAGCCAGGGATCCTTCTGGATAATTTAAGGGGACAATGATGGGCACATTTGGTGGCCTGTATCAGCAGTTGGGGGATATAGTGTTCCTCCTCTATAAAGCTTTGCATTGTATGTGTTAGCAAAAGCTATTATGTCCAACAAACTTAAAGTTCAATTATATCATTGGCGAAATGCTCATCTTCCACCTAATATCCTGATGTGGTCTTCACCATATGCTCAGGGTAACAGCATATATTGCAATAATGTGTCTGTTTTGTTTGGCTAGTTGGTGCAAAAGTTTTCCAAATCTCCCGCTGTATTAGAAGCTGAAAAGGGAGGGAAATTCCAGATGTTTGATGGGAATATCACTGGAGAATACGTGGAACTGGTAAGCAACTACAAAGGTTACATGGTGAGCTGGGGTAATGGTCCTTTCACTCATGTTATGAGCATAAGCAATCTCAAATGCTTTAATAAGGTTCCTTGTAGAACAAAAGAAAAATGTTACACACTGTGTGCTCTGTCCATGATCTTAACGCTGCCAAGGATACCAGAGAGCATTGGCATGTAAGCTGGAAGACAGGATTACAACGCTGTTTGTTGGTTCCAGTACTTAAGAGAGTTTAGCTTGATAACGGTTAGCTTCTTCTACGGTACTATGCACTTTCAATGTTTTCAGTGAAATGTCTCCTTTGTTTTCAGGTAACAAATAGGAAAATCATCATGAAATGGAGATGTAGGAACTGGCCAGAAGGTATGTTTTATGCAGTTATATATGGAAGCCAACAAACTGAAGATGCTCTTCTTCCTGATGTCATAATAAAGCTCCTGGTTTTTTCCCCAGAACACTATGCAACAGTTGAACTGAATTTTGTGCCTGCTCCAGGGCAAACGGAATTAAAATTGGACTGTAAAGGAGTTCCTGTCTGTCAAGAGGAGAATACGAAATTCTGTTGGCAGAAGCAGCACTTTGAAGAAATAAAAGGTTTCCTTCAGCTCACCACCCTGAAGGCTTTGAATTAGTTAGGTTTTATAAAGACATCCTTTTTTAAGCAGAAACCTGTCCTGTGTACTTACCTCTTTTTTTCTTCCTTAAAAAATACCTCCCCTCAAGGCCCTTAATTTATTTTGTATTGGATGAAATTCATGAAACAACATAATCTAAAAGCATTGTTTAAAATATTTTAGACTCTGCATTGAGTGAAATCAGGTGTCATAGCTCACCTTCCATGAGTGTTCCTCTGAGAAAAGGAGGTGAGGCTGAGCTCCCCAGAGGATGCTACTTGATTGCTACAGGTGATTTATGCTTAAGACAAATAAATGGCATGTTATACTACTCCTTTATTCTAAGCCAGTTTCCAAGGTGTAGTTCTTCAGAGGGTTGCGGTGAGGGCTAGGTGGCTGCATTCTGTTACACTTGTCTGGCTCTCCTTGCTGTCTTCCAAGCAGTCAGACACCTGTGGATAGAGGATGAGATATCTGCATGGTAAATTAACTGCTTTGGACTGGGGAGGACTTCTCAAATAGCAGAATGGCCATGTAGTTCTTCAGTCTCTTTACTGCTGTCATTTGCAGAAACTGAAACAACTTATGTAACAAAGGAAAAATTACCACAGTTTGTAAGTACACAGAACAGCAGTCATGTCAATAAAAATAAAACAATTATTTTTACATCAAGTGTGCTTTATTTCCTCCACAGGTATTCTGTTAAATAAAGCACCATTTATATACTGCCAGGCCACAGCTAAAGAGGATTCTTTACAGAATCAAATTTCTTGTGGTTGTTCCGTATACAAGTAAACTTAATTTTGATAATAAGAACCACAGCGATCAGAGGCAATCTGCCTCTCTTATTTTAAGGTACAAAACTGGCACAGAGGACACCATATTATACACAGTAAAAATGCTGTAAGTTTAAATTACATCGTACAGGGTCAGAGCCCTGTTTCTCCCAGAAAGCCATATTAAATGAAAGCCACTACAGTGAACTCTTAATTACATAAAACATATCCATTATCTGATTGCCCTTTAGAAAGTATACAGAAGATGCACATTTTCTCATCTGGAATTCTGCCTGACCAAGAATTGAAGCCTATAAATCTATCTTGCCATTCAAGCAGTGAGCACTGGACAAACTGAAGCACAAAACAAAGGAGCAAACTTGACAAACGGCATAGGGAAGGGAGCATGAGAGTAGACATGCCACGTCTAATGTCAAGAAGCAGCTTGGTTTCCTTTGCCAGATATCCTTGTGACCACATGGATTGTTGATTCAATGGTCCTACACAGGGTATCTAAAATGTCGTGTTGCTGCATATGACTAATGAGGCCTCTGGAATGGCCACAACTGAGGGACACAGCAGCATCAGGGTCCTGGGAGGACAAAGCTTGACCATCACAGCTTCTCAGATCAGCTAAGTCAGACAGAACTGCGGAGATGGACGTAGAAGGGAATTCTGATTCATCTTCAGCTAGTGTAGTATCCTTGGAACAGTGGTCTTTAAACTCTTTACAGTCATCAAACCTGCCATTGTTAGACTGTTCCTCTGTATGCTGTGACCGGATATGTGAGCCATCTTCCGAAAACGAAGATGGGCCTTCCATTCGATACTCTTTGACAGAACCATTTTCAGGGGATGGAAGATCTTGCTCCGTCCCTGGATCAATAATTGATGAGTCTCTTGTCTCATTGTCTGAGGTGCTAGTGGGGGTCAGGACCTCCCTGGCATCTGTTTTTATGTCACCAATGCAACTGTCTACAGTGTGTTCCTCATCACTGCTCACTCGCCTTCTTTTAACAGGAGTCGCACCTTCATCATCTGTGGGGGAAAAGTACATTAAAACAACCTTCTTCAAAAGAGGGCATTTAAATCCTACTGGGGGCAATTATCAGGGAAGACAATTTTGTTGTTAGCCTTTTTTTTTTTTTTTTTTGGTAGTACTGGAGGTCAGCACTAAGGACTTGCAGTACTAGGCAAGAGCAATCAGTCACACCAGCTTGTCTTCATCCTCCCAGCCACAGCCTCAGCCCCAACCCCAGGCAAGACTTAGTTGACACAGCTAACCTTTAGTTTTTCTTTCTTTGGCTTCTTGCTCTTGGAGTGAGTTTCTCTGCTGCAGACAAGTCCTACACTTGTTTAAAAGCTCTTGCAGAGTTGGGATCAGAGCTGGGTTTAACTGTTTGGGAGTGTGTACTGACAGGAGCAAAGCAAGTGCCCTCAGGTCCTACAAAAACCCAGATAGGAAGAGTTCAAATCCTGAAGGCAACATTTGGACAGAATGTCACAGTTAAATGAAGATGTCTATCCCCCAGGAATCTATTCTGGTTTCTCTGGTAATGTGGAATAATGCTAAAACCAGCACAGTATTCCATCAGTTGAGTGATTCAACTGGCTCATAAACATCTCAGTAGTTAGGAGGCTGCTGCTTAACAACAGTTGATATGTTTCCAGCATTATTCCTTCCCTGTGTCAAGTAGGCCAGAGTAAAGACTTAAGTCAGAAACCAAATATTGCACCTTAGACTTAAATAGTAATTTCAAAATCAAATCTCTCGGTACATCAGAAATGTGGGTTTTATTTCATAGATGTCAGTTTCTCAAGCTCAGTTATGGTGGATATCTCAATAAGGAACTCCCTGCTTAGCTTGGTTTGGCTGTTAGCCAATTTTGGCTTGTAGGCACCTTGTAAGGAAGCTGCTGCTGCTGCTGCTGAATGGCAGCTGGTGTGTTTCCAGAATGTTCCAATCTATAGCTGAATGTACGTAATCAACACTCTCTAGTTTTAACTGCCCTTATAATCATGAACATAAGCTTTGATTATTTAGCCATAGAAAACAATACAATGATCACAAGTTTAAAATATATATTCTGTTTTTAAAATATATATTCTGTTTTCGATAGACTCAGACCTCTAGCCCTGGCAGGGTTGGAACTCCTGTACCAGACTAGTCTCAAACTACCACTGACCTTCCGACCTCTGCCTCTCAGGTGCTAGGAATACAGATGTGTGCCACCGTCTCAGGTCGCACTGCTCTCATTACCCTTAACACATTGAATGTCATTCAGTGTGAATACTTAATTAAAACAGAGCTTCTCATCATACATGAGCCTTAAAAGAGTAACTTACACTCATGACAATAAAGTTATACAAAAGCCAAATAAGAGTTGAATTAAGGTGAGTTTTGAGCTTTTTGGTACAGTTCTTACCCCATTTAAAGACGCACTTGCTTTTGAAATTTCAACTCTGTTGGTGAAATCAGATTGTAGGTTTTGATACTGATTTATCAGGTTTGTGATAAGTGTACTAATCAAACTGGCACAGTTTGCTTCTGAAAACACTTGACTTTGAACCTGGAAAAGAATTCACATCCATGAGTGTGTACATGCACAAAACAAATCCTAAAATTCAAGACCATCATAATAAGGTACATAATTAAACAGAAACATTTCAGAAGAACTACATACATACCTTTAGAAGGAAATGTGTCATAAATGTGTAGACAATATTGTTGTTTAAAAAAGTTCTTTCATCCATTAGGATACATTTAATGTACTCTGCAAAAACAGGATCTTCACACAGAAGCTTGATGCAGTTTTTCGACATAGCTGACTACAGAAGGAGAGAAGAAGCACTGCAGTTAGTTAGCAGCTGGGGGGCCTTTGGGTGATGTTCAGTTACAGGTGGAACTATAGCAGTGTCCTAGAGGAAGACAATGGCAAAACCCAGGACATGTGGTTGTGTGGGTAGGTAGGTGTTTGCCTGCATCTGTGTGTACATGTGTCTATCCTATGTTCACAGAGATCAGAAGAGGCTGTTAGATACCCCAATAACTAGAGTTGCAGATAGTTGTGAGCAGCCACGATGCTGGGAATTGAACTTGGGTCCTCTGAAAGAGCAGCCAGTGCTCTAAGCACTGGCCGTCCCTACAGCCCTGTCAACACATACTTTAAAAGAAATGTACCTTTATTGCCCAGCAGAGTTAACAAGGATTAAAAACAAGCCTTATAGCATAGGATATGAATGTTTTAAGGGGACAATCAATGGATAAGCTAATAGATGACCAAACCACATACATACCAAGAGAAGACAAACTCTCAGAATTAAAATACATCTGCTAGAAAGTTAAGGGAAGGTTTACTGTTTGATCTCATTTTCCTATTTATCTCACATAGAATTTGAGGATCCCAATGTTTGGAAATTTTACTAAAACCCAGCTTTTCTGTTTTCATCTTAAATACAAGTAGTATGTCTTTCAACAGACATTCCACTAGATATTACTTATATGGGTGGATATATTACATAAGTAAACAAGAATTTAGATATATACATTTATCAACATATTTTAATGAGTAAGTTATTCAAAGCCACTCAAGGATTTAGGAACAGAATAGGGCAGGCTCTTTTTAGATCCTCAGTGCTGGAGGCTGGGGAGATGGCTTGGCAGTTAAAGCCTTCACTGGCTGCTTTGGCAGAGGACCTGGGTTCAATTCTGGGCACCCACATGGCAGCCCACAACCATCTATAACTTTCCCATCTCAAAGGACACAATGCCCTTTTCTCGTCTCCAAGGGTACTGTATGCACATGGTATATAAACAAAATGCCCAATTATATAAATTTTAAAAATTTAGACCACTGGTGATATTATCTATGAAAAGAGCAACAGTAGTGGCAGAAAGGGGAAAGCAGAAATCAGCTCCAATTCTGTGGGCCAATCACATCAGCTAATTAGGCTCAGTGCCCTCCAAAGAGTCATAACACACTTGCCTGTAAATAATACTCTGTAGTAATAGTTCAGACTTTTGCTTAGTAGTTATAATAAACACTATTATAGAAAATAACATTCTTCAGGGAACAGGTGATGTGATATGCAGTCTTATAGTTTGGGGTCCTAAAGAACTCTTACAATGGTACAGCATGGTGAGCATGTAAAAAAATGTCTCCACCACTGCCCCACAGAAGAATGGGACAATACTTCATCAACTACAGGGCATTAAAGAGTTTTACCCAGGAAAGGTTCACAGTCTTTCCTCTAGAAAGATGCAACTAGGAGAAATCAAATTGTTTGTTTGTGGAGATCCCTTAGGACAGATCCAAAGAATGAGACAAACCTTACATTAGACTACATTTGCTTCCAGATTCTTTACAATTCTCTAACACCTTTACAAACATTACTTATTTATTTATGAGCCAGCTTTAGGAACTTCATTTTTCCTCCTGAGGCAGGGTCCTGTTATGTAGTCCATGTTAACCCTGAATCTGTGACTATCCTCCTGATCCAGCATGGGCTAAGTCTGCAGTTACAGGATACATTCCATACCTGGTTAGAAGTTGGCTATTTGAAACTTAAAATTAGGTAAGGTAACCTTTTCTGTTCTATTTGGTTTTAGCTAAAACTTCCCTGTTCTCAATAAGAAAACAACGGTATGAGATCCCTGAACACCTAGTTCCAGGCAGAGCTAAAGGCCAAGCAACACTGTTTCTGCTAGAAGTTTCAGCGGTGAGAGGAAGAAACACTTGGGGGACAAGCGGGAAGGGAGGTGTGGCTATGAACTTGCTTTCTCCAGCATCTCTGCATCTTAGACTTGTTGCTTCTGAGCTATGGATGAGAAATCAGACTTATCATCTAAAAAATCATTTGCTTTTACCTGAGTCTGACATAGCTCAGTCC